CAAAATTAATGAAAGAGAATAAAAATTACAATACACAGGGATCAACACCAAAAAGGATTGGTTCTGTGAAAAGATAAATATGATTGATAAACCCTCAGCCCAAAATAAGCAAAAAAAAGAAAACTCAAATCAACAAAATTAGAGATGAAAAAGGAGATGTCACCACAGAGATTTCTTTGGTCTAGATGATCATTAAGGAACTAATTTGAAAATCTGTACTCCAATAAATTGGAAAACCTTGATGTTTACAAAATTTCTAAACACATACGACTTACCCAAATTGAACCAAGAAGACAGAGAAAATCTTAACACACCAATAACAAGTAATGAAATCGAAACAGGAATTAAAATCTTTTCCCAAAAAAATGGACCAGATGGATTCTTAGTCAGGTTCTGCCAGACCTTTTAAGAAGTACTAAGTCTTTCTCAAATTATTTCATGAATGAGAAAGGCAGTATACACTCCCAAATTTATTCTATGAAGTCAGTGTAACCCTGATACCAAAACCAAAGGCATATCAAGGAAAGAAAACTACAGACCAATATCCCTGATGAACATAGGGATACATCCCTGATGTAAAGATCATTAATAGAAGGTTAATAAACTGCATTCAAAAAACACATAAAGGAGGATGATATGGGGTTGGGGTTAGGGTTGTGGCTCAGTGGCACAGTGCTTGCCTACCATGTGTGAGGCACTGGATTCAATTCTTGGCACCATATATAAATAAATAAAGATCCATTGATAGCTTAAAAAAAAAGAGGATAATACACCATTATTAAATGGATTTCATCCAAAGGATTCAAGGTTGGTTCAACATATGCAAATCAACAAATGTAATTACTACTTCACAGAATTAAGGATAAGAATTATATGATCATCTGAATAGGCCTTTGATACACTTCAATACCCATTCATGTTAAAAACACCAGAGAAACTAAGGGTTAAAGAATCTTACTTCAATATTATAATGGCTATACATGACGATCCCAAAGAAAACAACATAACTGAAAGCAATTCCTCTAAAATCAGGAACAAGGCAAGGATCTCTACTCTCTCACTACTTTTATTCAATATAATTCTCAAAACTCTAGCCAGAGCAATCAAGAAAGAGAAGGAAGAAAAAGGAATACAAATAGGAAAAGAAGAAGTCAAACTGTCCATTTGCTGATGACATGATCCTCTGATTAGAAAACCCAAACAACTCCACCAGAAGACTTCTAGAGTAGATAAGTGAATTTGGCAAAGTAGCAGTATACAAGGTCACTCATAAATCAGTAGCTTTCCTATACTCCAAAAGTGATTCAGCTGAACAATGAAAACAATGCCATTCACAATAACCTTTAAAAAAACAAAACCCTAGGACTGGGGTTGTAGCTCAGTGGCAGAGTGCTTGCCTTTCATATCTGAGGCACTGGGTTTGATTCTCAGCACCACATAAAAAATAAATAGAATAAAGGTATTGTGTCCATGTGCAACTAAAGAAATAAAAATTTAAAACACACACACACACACACACACACATACACACACACAAAATCCTTGGAAATTAATCTAACCAAGGAGGTAAAATATTTCTACACTGAAAATTATAGAACACTAAAGAAAGAAACTGAAGAAGACCTTAGATGATAGAAAGATCTCTCATGCTCTTGGATAGGCAGAACTAATATTCTCAGAATGGCCATATTACCCAAAGTAATATGGAATGAAAGTAAAAATCAATAGCAATCCCCATCAAAATACCAATTACATGCCTCATAGAACTAGGAAAAATAGGGTCCTAAATACATTTGGAAGAATAAAAGACTTGGAATAGCATATGCAGAAAGTATCCATCAAAAATATTTAAAGGAGCACAAGAAAGATCAGTAGAGGAGAGAATGGAGGAGGAGAGGGAAAGACAAAGTTAATAGGGATTGAAATCAAATTCCTTGCATGTATGATTTTTGTCAAAATGAATCCAACCACTATGTATAACTAGAATGCTTTCATAAAAGACAAGAATTGAATTCTAATAAAGCACACATATACATTTTTTGATATGAGGAAAAAAATCCAATAGCTAAAGAATAAGGTAACCATTAGAGGACAAGATAAAGCCAATATCTATCTTTATTTATGGAGAGGTAGGGAGGTGTGGTTTAATATTATCAAAGAAACAGGAATGCTGTGTGGGAATCTGATGCTCTGATACAGAATAGTTTAATGCTGTGTGTGAGAGAGAAGGGGGAAGAAATTTAATTCAGTGATAAAATGTAGTAAGGCTCTGGAATCAGACTATATGGAAACACTGTCATGAAAACATGAATTTAGGTTTCTTTTTTTAATATATATATATTTTTTAGAAGTAGTTGGACACAATACCTTTATTTTATTTATTTATTTTTATGTGGTGCTGAGGATTGAACTCAGAGCCTCACACGTGCTAGACGAGCGCTGTACCGCTGAGCCACAATCCCCGCTGTGTATTTAGGTTTCTTTACCCAAATAATAACAGTACAAACTCACAGTACTAATGATAAGTTTTAAGTAAAACTACTTATGGAAAACAAAAAATATATAATAAAAATTTGCAGGTATTTACTACCATCATTAATACTATTCCAAAAAAATAATCTGAATGTGTGGGAATCCAGGAGACAAACCTAATAAATATGGAAACACTGTCATGAAAACATGGAAGTTCTTCATTTGTGGAGGATAAGAGCTAAAAGAATTTACAATAACAAGATCCACTTGGCTGGATAGAATTATCTGGAAAATTTTATAGAATAATAATCTGACCTGTGTCTTTATATATGCACAGCTTTTAGATAGGAGAATGAGAATGACAGTAATGAAGGTGCCATGGTTTGGTGAAGTATGGTGGGAGGCACTTGTGGTTCCAGCTACTCAGAAGGCTGAAGAAGGAGAATCTGCAAAGAGAACCTGGGCAACAAAGTGAGACCCTAAAAAAGAAAGAAAAACAATGGAAAGGAAGCAGGGAGGAAGAAAGAGTAGTGAAGGAAGAAGGGAGGGAGGGAAAGGAAGAGGGAATAGAGAAAGGAAAAGGGAAAGAAAGGAGGGAGAGAAAAAAAGTAAAAGAAAAGAAAGGAAGCTGCCATCATTTGATCATGGTTTAACTGTAAACCCCTGGATTCATGTGCTGGGAGCTCAGTCTTCAGTATGATGGTGTTGGGAGGAGTAGGGGAGAAGTAAGGCATAGTGGGAATTAATTAGGTTCACCCTTTGAAAGGAACTGATTAAATTCTGTGGGATCCTGGCTAGTTCTAGTTAGAGGGTTTTTATAAAAGAAAAGATCTAACCCCCGAGTTGCTCTCTGGCTTCCTATGTCACCATGTGACCTCTCTTTATTATACATACTCTGGAAATGATGTCATCTAGCACTAAGTGATGCAGCCAAGGGGACCTTCACCAAAGCCACCACCATGCTGTTCAGATTTTTTCAATCTCCATAATGGTGAACTAAATAAATCTATTTCTGTCTTAGTTCCTCAATCTCAGGGCTTTTATTTAGCAGTGGAAAACAAACTAATACAGAAGCTGAATGAAACCTGAGAAGCCAGAAAGACCAACACATTTCAGGATAGTGATATCAAAGTATGGAAATCTGAGTATCATAAGGAAAGGCAAGACTATGTTTTGTCTTCTGAGTGTACAAATGAAATAGGTAAGTTTTATTTTTTAGACTGTTAAGAACCAATGAAGGAGGCATAACATGACCAAGCAGAATATCAGGAGTATTCTAGTTTTGGTATGTAGAAAGATTAGAAGGGAAAATACCAGAATAGAATCTTACTAGTCATTAAGACAAATAATGAAAGACTGACTAGAATAGTACTGATGGAGAAAAAAAAGAAGAAGAAGAAATATATTGACAAGAGAATGGGAACGGGGGTAGGAAAATTGACCAAGTCTGACAATGACTGGGTATTAGTAGGAAAGTAAATGACAGGTGAGTGATGAAACCATTAGAAGGAAAGAGCAAATCCAAAGGTCTGGAAACCAAGATGAAGGCTTTCTACTAGGTCATAAAAGCTGTCAGTCAGAGTTAGATTGCCAATTTGAAATAATAGTAAAACATTCTAACAGCCAGTTAGCAACAGAGACTAGTGCTTGGGAGAAGTGAGAACTGGAAACAAAAAAACTTTAGAATTATCAAAAAGCAAAACAAAACTCATTAGAATGTTCTAGACATTCCAGAACAAATAGACACTAGACTGTACTATTTCAGAACAGTGGTCACTTCTTATTTATTTTTATGACCCTTAATGATTAGCACAGTTCTGAATACATGGGAAGCTCTTAGTAAAATATTGCAAAGTGGGAAGAACAGAGAAAAGAAAACAGGCTGCACAGCTCATTAATGGCAGAATCTTATTTGGAGCTCAGGTCTCCTGATCCTTTCCACTATACCACAACACAGAAATGACTTACAAGCTTCCATGCACAGGATTTGATTTAAGAAACAAAAATAAAGGACAAGAACTGAACTTTGGGGATTTCTGGTTTATAGGGTCAGAAGGAAAAAGAAACGAAAAGACAGCAAAGACAGACAAGAGTTATTGGGGAAATGTAATGGTGTTTCACCATAGATTAAAGGATATTTTTCCTTTAATATAAGGAAAGGAATGCACAGTCAGCTGTATCAAATGCACATATGCCACAGCCAGTGTTTCTCTGATGCTTTAAACCAATGAAGCACAATGCAGGGAAAGGTCACTTTTTTGAAGTTCAAAGTGACCTTTGAACTAAGCAATTTCCCTTTCACAGGATTTTCTATATATAATGTTCTTCATAGCAGTGGTTACAAAAGTATTAATCTTCAATAAAGTTTATTTCTATTAAAATACATAACTAGAAATAAGTTACTATATTCGTTGAGTTGAACAAAAATTAACAGAACAAATGAAATTTGAAGCAAAAGGTGCATCTAACCAATAATCATATAATGTATTAAGACAGCAACAAAGTATATGAAATATCAGAGGTATTACCTTAAATCTCTTGTCCTGCAATACTTTTTTGATGGCAACCAGTTCTCCTGAATCACAAAGTTTGGCTTGATATACCACACCAAATGACCCATTTCCGATCACTTTAGTGTCTGTATAGCTGACTTCTTGTGGCCTGTCTGGACCCTGCCCGGGAGTTGCCACCACTGTGGTCACCTTGCTGCCATCCTTGTCTCCTAAAGGAAGAAAGGGATTTTAAAAAAAATGAGAACTGTACAGAATTATACTGAAAAAACTGCCCAAATACACAAAGTAAACTATATTCTTTACTACAAATTATTTTTAAATGTTCACCTTAGTTTATCACATTAAATTTTTTTTTTCAATTATAAGCAATATTTTTCATTCAGTCACTCTATAGACCAGGCTCCATGCTAAGTTTATACACATGACATCTTTTACTGAAAACAAAAATTATGAAGTAGATATACTTCATATATCTAAGTAATGGAAAGAATGTTAAAGATGCCCAGGGTCAAATAGCAAATGGTAGGCTCACAGGGGTCTCCTTATTTTACTTGAAAATATGTGCAACTGAAAGTGCCTACACTATATTCAGACTACTCTCCCTTTAGGAAGGTAAGGTTTTCAATTTTTGTTTCTCTGTATTTGTTGTTTTAAAAATTAATATAATACTTCTCAGAATATGGTCAGATGGGAAAAAGAATGTTAACTGGGTGCTAATGGATATAAAGCCTAAAAGCAAAATCAAACAGGTTCTAAACTGAGCCCCATTTATAACCGTTCACTGGCTCTAGCTCTGTTTACTATCTTCTTACCTTGTTTGCCTTCCTTCATACCTAGCAGTAATCCAAAGGCTCTCTTCATGTTTAAGAGCCACCTCCTACTTGACTAGGTATAGTTCATATCATCTTGTTCTCTGAATTCTTCAACTGTTCTGAACTGTACTACAGTACCTAGCATTTAAAGAGCTTTAAGTTGTTCATTTCGTGATTTCAGAATACATACCAGTTCTAGTTCTAGGGACTAGAATTATCTTAAAATAGCAATATGTCTCATGCTTCTTCTCTCTTCTCTGTAAAATCTAAACTCAGTTCTCAGTACAATATAAATCCTTTAGACCTAGTGACTGAACTGCATTTTTTTTCTGTCACTCTTCCATTATATCAATTTTATTTTCAAAATGATAACTGAATAATGTACACTAACCTAATGAAAGAAAAAGTAATAGAATACTTATAAAGCACTTTCCCTACCAAAACCAAATTACTGGTTAAATGAAGATACAAAATGTTGTGGCACACTATAATCAGTATTGATATCTATTTAAATTTGAGGAAGTGTTTATCTAAACAAAAGCAATTAATGGGGCTGGGGATGTGGCTCAAGCGGTAGTGCGCTCGCCTGGCATGCATGCGGCCCGGGTTCGATCCTCAGCACCACATACAAACAAAGATGTTGTGTCCGCCGAGAACTAAAATAAATAAATATTAAAAAAAAAAAAAAAACAATTAAGCAATGTGAGATCAATTTTTTCTTGCTTAAAGATGCTTCATTTCAGACACAAAAGCAATGCGTGAAAGTAATGAGTGACTTCTACATTAGATAACCAAGTGATTTATAGGTAGTTTATATTATAACATGGTCAGCTGTCTTGGGCATTTTTGTCTTTAGTTCCTAAGTAAAACACCCCAAAAGGTATGATTTAATTAGCACAAATCTAATACCACTTGTGGAAGTGACTCAAATCTTGTCAGCACCACTTTTATTTACAACACTATTACATGTGTTTTGAATGCATACAAATCACGGTGCAAGTACAAACATAGCAGTTCTCAAAGTTTTCAAATTCTCCCTTCAAGTCTGAATCCTAGAAACCTTTGCTAAAAACCTAGTTTAATCTAACTGAGCTCTAAATTATCATTTTCTATCCCCCCAAACTTTCCTTTATTCATCTTAATTACAACTTTGCAGGTTAGCTATAAATCCTACTAAAAGTCATTTTCTTCCTCATTTAAAAAATAAACCTTTCTCTTCCTGTACTTTTAGATTTCTGAAGACAAACTCAGTCTTTTGATCTTGAATACAAAATGAAGACATCCAGAAAGATTAGATCCAAAAATTTTAAAATCCAAAATATTAAGTACATTTTTGGGGGCGGGGGGGTGGGCAGGGATTGAATCCAGGGGCATTCAACCACTGAGTCACATCCTCAGCCCTATTTTTATTTGTATTGTATTTCACTGAGTTGCTCAGCACCTAGCATGTGCTGAAGCTGGCTTTTGAACTCATGACCCTCCTGTCTCAGCCTCCTGAGCTGCTGAGATTATAGGCATGCACCACCATGCAGGCTTAAATACATTCTTAAATTCCAATTGTCCCAAAGAAGGAAAAAAGCAGCAATGATTTCATACAATCTGACACTTCCCTATTTCATCCAAGTTAAATGCACAGCACCAAAAAAGAGTTGACAACTTTGAAGTAATATCTCACAAGTCTAACAAAACAAACCATTATCTTAATTAAGGTAAAAGATTTTAAGACTAGCCACTATACTCCACAATTTTAATGGAAAAGAAAAACTGTCCACAATACAACAAAAAATTATGCTTTTCTTCTCTATGATGATATTTCAGTAAAGAAGACAGGAACCACAGCTTTGTATTTGCTCCAGTAAGAAAACTGATACAATATAAGCATTTGTAATGGCTTTTCCCACTTGAGCCTTCCTATTGTACTTATAAAAACACCTTTACATATCAGAGTTTGAGAACAGCCATAAAAGATAAACATCACAACCCTGGAATTTAATATCTCTTCATTCCAACTTTTACTAAGCCCGGGAAGGTATATCCAATCATCATGATTTCAAACACCAAAAAGTACAAATAAAATAATTCTTCTAAAATATTAAAAGTAGACTGGAAAAATAAAATGTTTTACCTACACTGAACTCAAAGAGGTTATTCAGGCTTCTTAATTTTACATTTATTTATTTGGGGGGATATATCTGAGATTGAACCCAGGAGCATTTAATCACTGAGCCACATCCCCAGCCCATTTTTTAAATATTTTATTTAGAAATAGGGTCTCACTGATTTCTAAGTGCCTCGCTAAATTGCTGAGGTTGGCTTTGAACTCACCATCTCCTGCGTCAGCTATCCAAATTTCTGGGATTACAGATGTGCACCACCACAACCAGAAGGCTTCTTAACTTTAAACTGAGCCCTGATGTTGACAAGAACCAGTCCTTTCATTCTCTTATACATCTAGATAGTTAGTACTTACTATCTTAGTAGGAATTAAAATATTTACTGGGTTTTCTCTCAAATGATTAGAGAAAACTATAGAGAACACTTATAGGATATACCTTACTAATATTAAGTGTCTCGCAGTACTAATGGTAAGGTTTTAGTAAAACTACTTTAGTAAAACAACAAATCTATATAATGATTTGTAAATATTAACTACTATCATTAACTACTATTCAAAAAAAACCTGAATGTGTGGGTATCCAGGAGACGAGCATAATGAATATAGAGACAATGCCATAAAAACATGGAATTACTTAGTTTGTGGACAATAAGAGCTAAAAGAATTCAGAATAACAGGATATACTTGGCTGGACATAATTATCTGGAAAATTTTATAGAATAATAACCCTACCTGTATCCTTAATACATGCACATCATTTACATAGGAGAATGAGAATGATAGTAATGAAGCTGCTCTAATTAAGGGAGGGTAGTTAAAAAAAAAAAAATGGCCTTCAAAAATGCCACTGTCTTTCAGATACAATAGCAGAGCAGTGAGTTGGCTCCAGGCCCTCTGGTCAGAGGACTCCTGGGATACTCAATTACAATTAGAATCCCTGCTTCTGATATAAATTTCCTGTTTGAATTCTAACACAGAATTATAGCCTCTGCTTTTCATCAAAATAGAGAATCTTAAAGATATAAACCACAATGGAACTCCTCATGAACAATGGAAAGATGGTGTGCAATAAAACAACCTTTTAAAGGACAGAATATCTGGAATACAAGTTTTACAAAAGCCTTAGCAAGTTTAAGCTTATTCCAAAATGATCTGTGCAGCCTAGTTACCAATCTCTTAAACATAGGATTGTACCTGTGAAATATCTCCTGTTTTTTTTTAAGTCTTTTGAAGTCACTCTTCAGATCAATCCACCTTATAATAAACAAATGTAAACATTGTGACATGGATCACAAACATGTGGAGTGAACATCCAAAAATCAAAAGGCCATTTCAAGGATATGTGAGTATTTAGAATGGGGTCTAGCACTGACATTCTAAATTTTATATAAATGATAAACCTCAAAGTTGAATGTAACCTTGCTCTTTTAACAAAACTCTTAATCTGGTGTTTCTTTTCTTACAGAGGCTATCTCTCAAGATTCAGAGCTGAGAAAAAGCAACAACTGCAGCACGCTAACCAAAAGACATTCAGGGAATATTAATAAGCCATACTACTGAAACAAATTGAGCAAAGTCATGACGTGGCCCAAGATCTACTCCAGTGACTGTGTTATAGGGATCTGAGTCTGCAACGACAACCTCTATAAAATCTTCCTTTACCTCAAAAATCTCTTGTGCACAAAACACAGAGTTAAAAGGAAAAAAAAAAAAATATATATATATATATATATATATATATGGAAAAACTTAACCAAGAAGGTGAAAGGCCTACAGTGAAAACTGTAGAACACTGAAGAAAGAAATAGAAGAAGACCTCCCATGCTGTTGGGCATGCAGAATTAGTATTATCAAACACAATTTGTAAGTTCAATGCAATCCCCATCAAAATACTAATGATATTTCTTACATAACTAGAAAAACCAGTCCTAAAATTCACATGGAAAAATAAAAGAGCCAAAACAATACTGAGCAATAAGAGAGCTGATGGCAACACAACACCTGATCTCAAATTATGCTACAGAGCTAGAGTAACAAAACTAGCATAAAAACAGATATTAAGATCAAAAGAAAAGAGTAAGTTACAGAGACAAAATCCATATAGATATAGTCACCTGATTTGACAAAGGTACCAAAAATTAATATTGGAGAACAGATAGCATTTTTAACAAATGGTACAGGAAAAACTGGATTTCCATATGTAGAAGAATGAAATTAGATTCCTCTTTCACCTTGCACAAAATCAACTCAAAAGTGGACAAAAGACTTAGGAATTAGGGTA